TTTTTTTTTTTTTTTTTTTTGGCTATACAATTGGTACTTTGAAATACATTTTTAAAGGTTGTTAAAACTTCATCTTCCTGTGCTTGAAAGAAATATTGCTGCTAGGAAAGACTAAGCTATTTTTATTGTTGAGTTAGTGCAGTTTTAAACTCCATTATTCTGTTCCCATCTTTCCCAGATGTTGTTTTGTTGGTTCTCTTCAGGTGCAGTAGTTAAATACAGGTTGTCTAAATCACTTGAGAAAGGATCTCAGTGTATTGAAACACTTGATTGGCTCAACAATTATAGAGTTATTTGCTCCAATTACAACAGTACCTCTTTCTGTGTACTTCACTGGAACTGTGTCCAATTCTCAGCAAAGTCTTGATGACTGTATTTTTTCCCAATTAAACTTGTAATATACAGTGGGAAAAGTGTGTAACTGTGATTTTCTGTGAGGGCGTGGGGACCGAGCAGACCGCCCTCCCTCCAAAAGGCGAAAAAGTGGTGGGAGGATTGTGGTTAACTGCATTTCTGTGATAGGAATCCTCCCACAGCTCCCTGAGCATTTCTGTTTTCCCTGGGGTCCACAAGGTGGGGGTCTCTTGCAGCCCAATCGTGGAAGTTTTCTCTGCCCTGATCAGCTGTCAGGCGGAGTCCTCCAGAGACAGAGCTTTCCTCTGACAGGAATGAGAGGGATGTGTCTCTACAAACTGGGCCTGCTTGTAGATAAAGCCAGATACTGAAAGGTGAAAGAAGCAGTGGAGGGAACCATGAATTCCAGGGCAATTCCACTAATTGACACAGACTGTTGTTCACTCGAGACCATGCTAAATTCCTGGACTTGGAGAAAAAGAACAAAGATACGAAGAAAAACGGGGGAATGGGGGCATTGCTGAAATTCAGGAATGAATTGAATTGCTGAATTGAAATTCAGGAATTAATTTTCTTCACAGAAAGGGTGGTTAGACATTGGAATGGAGGTGGTGGAGTCACTGTCTCTGGAGGTGTTTAAGAAAAGACTGGCACTTGGTGCCATGGTCTAGTTCATATGGTGATGTTTGGTGAAAGGCTGGACTCAAGGATCTCAGAGGTCTTTGCCAACCTAATTGAGTCTGCAGTTCAGGGCTTTTCCTGGCAATGTGTGTTTACGATGCAGACTAACAGTGTATGAGAGAGCAAGATCTGTGTCTGAGGGACAAGTGTCTATCTTGCCTCAATTTTCTGCTCAGTGGTGTTTTTCTGCACAGGTGTACAGAGTATTTGGAAAGAGGACAGCCCAAGCACCCAGTGTGCGTCACAGCCCAGCCCACACAGGGAGAGGGAGAATGCAGACACTACAAGTGCCCGAGTACCCAGCTGTCAAAAGCATCTGTTGCTACTTGTTGGAGTCATGGGAATCCTGAGAATACCTGCATGACGCCATTCCCAAGGTGTTTGACGTGAGCTGATGCGGTTTGTGGTGATGCTGTGCTGCAGAGGCAGCAGCTGGAGGGTGCTGTTGCCACAGGAGAGGCTCACAGAAAGATCACAGCAAAGTTTTAGCTCCCCAGATGAGTGAGGCAGTCTTCTGGGAAATTTTCTGTGCTGACTACTCTGATGTACCCCGGCCTGGGATCTTGCAGGTCATCCCCCTTTTGTAGAGGGACAATTGCTTTAATGACCCAGCCTTTGTTTTCTCAGTGCCTGTTGCTGAGAATAGCTGCTTTTTCTTCTAGTGCACTCTTAGCCTTTTTGGCTCACCATTTTAGCTTCCAGGTGCACCTGGGTTTGTGTTTTTCAGTAGAGAAATCAGAGACTGGATTTTACCCTCAGGTTATTCCTGGAGAAGCTGCAGTAGAAGGAAGTGAGCCTATGGGTTTTGGAGATTTTTTTTTTAAATTTAAAATATAAATTTCTGTGGCAGGCTGGAAAACAAATTTAGTACTTACTCCTGTTCAAAACTGAAATTTTGAAGGATGATTTCAGTCATTGTTTTGCCTAACAGCAGATGATTAAATACTCTCCAACATACATTTAAGAACAGATAATGATGAGAGGCTTTGAGCGTTTTAATGGGTTTTGAATATCCTTTTGCCCTTAAATTTAATTGGTCAATTTTTCTTCAGCAGGAATGGGATCATTCACATTACTCAGTTGGGTAAGAAAGTGATGGCTAAAGGAAAAAGACAAAAAATAATTCAGAATGCTGATATTGATGCCGTGTTTTATTTGCGGGATTTGCTGCTCACTTTAAATTCACAAATAGACACGTAAATAAACCATTTACTCCAAAAGCAGGCACAACCACACACTTTAAAACAGGAAGCATTTGTCATCATGACAGAAAAGATTTTATTTCCATACACAGAAGTCCACGATATGTGTAGTTGAAACAAGTAGGGTATTACTGTTACTGTCACCTGCTTTGTCACAATTATCAGTTAAGAAACATCCAAACTGGAGTTGCACTAAATCAGAACAGTAAAAGAAGCACAGAAGGAAATGCAGAATTCATCTAGAGTTGTTTTCTCATATCTGAGCAGACAATAAGCTACTCAGCTCAACCAGAGGCTGGCTCCCTGAAGCCTAAGCCTGTCTTGCTCCTAGAAAGATGCATCATCTCAGGATCTCCCTGGTATTTTGGCTTCACTTATCCTTTATCATGAAGGTGCACACAGACTTGGCAAAATGTCTGGTTGGATTTTTCCCACCACCATGCTGTAGTTTCATATGGATCCCACTGACAAGCAAGGTAAAACACACGAAATTCCATCTGAACTTAAGAAAACACTTTTTTACTGAGTGAGAGCTGTTGAACACTGACACAGGTGATCCAGGGAGACTGTCAGCATTTCCTGGTCAGTCAAAGCCTAGCTGGACACAATCCTGGCCCATGTGTGCAGAGGGATGGGCTAGATAATGTGGAGATGTTATTCCCAACTTCTACAGTTTTGTGATTGGTTCTGTGATGAGCTCAGCATCTCAAGGCAGCAGAAGCTGGCCATAGGGTGCCTGGAGGTGAGGGAAGAGATCCTTTTCATATGTACCTGTGGCATTTCCAAATACATAGCAGACAGAGTAACACTCTCCATAAAACTAAAGGGTGGAATATTGATAAATCATTCTTAAACAAGGTTTAATAGGAAGAGACTTGATGTTTTCACTTGGCTGTAAAGCAGGTTTTAGCTTTCAGAGTATGTGCCTTTCATAAGAACATGCTGTGCATATTGTACAATGACAATAGAAAGCTGGTGGTCTGTAGACTTCAATAAGCTTCATCAGGAGGGTTAAACTGAGAGGTTAAAGAGTGACAGGAGTCAAAATAGGCTTTTTTTGGCATCCTTTCTCCTCTGAGCAGGAAGAAAAGGACACCAAATAGCTTAAAGGTATGAGTCATAAGCTCAAAAGGGTTAAGAGGTTTCTCTTAAGAAACAAAGAAGCATCACTGCTAGGATCAGCACTCAACTTTTCCATCATTGTAATATGCTCTAGTGCAATCTTTGTTCTCATTAAACAACTCTAAAATGAGTGTCTACATCCCAAACTGGCAGATGTATAAACTGAAGCACAGCATCCGTTCAAGCTCAAGCATTATCTAGCAGTCCAGTGAGAAGAGTTCTGGTGGGAACGCAAAGTCGGCTGCTGCTTTGAGAGCTCTCACCAGTGGTGGGTACTCCCACAGACAAGGAAGAAGCTTCTGAAAAGGTATGGTTTCTTCTTTACCCCTCTCCAAAAAAAGTGAGATTAGAACCTCAGAAAGTTTACTGTAGTTTTATGCAGTCTACTTCCTCCGTGATTGGCATTGCACTTGTTCTCAGGTCCAAATCTGTGCTGGATTTGCTTCCCTTATACGTTGACCTCCATCTGAGCAGCATGATCTTCTTGAAGTACTTCATGGTGTTGTTTTTCACGGTTAGGAAAAACATGGTGTTTATCATGCTGTTGCTCATGGCGATGCACTCAACTATGTAAAAGGCAGTAAGATAATGCTTCTCCTTCACCAAGATGTTGGGGAAGAAGTCCCGGACAATTGTGAAGCCATAGAAAGGTGCCCAGCAGAGAACATAGGCAGTCAGGATGCACATTAGTACCATAACAGTTTTCCTTCTGCACCGAAGCCTCTTTCTGATTTGTTCTGTCTGGAATCCTGGGACGGTTTTAAACCAAAGCTCCTGAGAGATCCTGGCGTAACACAAGGTCATTGTAATCACAGGTACCACAAATTCAATGCCAAAGATGAAGAGAAAGTATGATTTATAGTACATCTGCTGGTCAACTGGCCAAATTTGGCCACAGAAAATTTTCTCCTGGTTTTTCACTATAAACAACACGGTTTCAGTAGCAAAGTATGCAGATGGAATAGCTACAATTATGGAGACGACCCAGACCAAGGCAATGAGGAAGGTTGCTGTTTGATAATTCATGCGTGGTTTCAGTGGGTGAACAATGGCCAGATACCTAGAACAGAAAAATAAATTCAAAATGAAGTCTGAAAACACTGTTGATCAGAACACACTTCAAAATACACGCAAACAGAATCAGGCAGGAGGAAATTGCTGTCATTCCTGAGGGGAGAGCCTGAACATATTCGTCTGTAAGGACACGATCATCTGTAAGAACATTCTGTGAAGTAGCAGCCAAGAGCTGAGTTACAATTTTGTATCACAACTTTTCCTTTTAAAAGGGAGCAAAAGTTTGAAAAATGCAGTATTACACATCTATTCAGGTTCAGGGAAGAAAAGACAAACATGTAGAATCAGGAAAATGTATTCCCTAGGCAGAGAGCAACATAAATAGCTCTTTTTAAAAGGAGGTTAAATATATATCACAGTGTTTTTCTTATTTCTGTGGTTATTCCATGGGGTGCAAAGACCTGAAGGTGATACTAATGTATGGTTGCAGGTGAACATGATTTTAAGCCACCTACAGAATGTATAAAATACCTATTTTATAGATGCATAATTTAGAGGAGTG